TTGAGCTGAAGAGCTGAGGGACAGCGCCCAGGCCCAGAGTTCAAGCCCCACAGCAGACAAAAAAAAAAAAAAAGAAAGAAAAAACAAAAAAAACACATGCTCTTTGTATTTTCTTATGTATTATATATAATTGTGATCCTGCACCCCAACTACAAAATACCTAGATAGGGACTGCCAGAAGTGTTGCAACTGTTTAGTAACAAATTCCAGAACATTAAGAGGAGCATTATGCATAGTGTTTTTAAGTAATCAGTCAGATCTCTTGCTTGAGCTGCTGGTAACTGCCTTTGGGACACCATAATCGTAATTTCTGATGACTGACACTCAGGATTGCTGGCGGGAAATGAGACACAACAATAATAAATACAGCCAGTGGCCAACTTTCTTTGCCACCAAGTATTTTTCCAAGCTTAAAATCAACTTACTCCCACTCATTTTAATTACTGTCTAAAGGAAGGTTAAAAATGGGATTTCCAGCCAAGTATAGATGGTGGCCGATGCCTATAATTCTAGCTACTCAGGAGTCTGAGATCTGGGGATCATGGTCAAATCCAGCCCTAGCAGGAAAGTCCATTAGACTCTTCTACTCAATAAACTACGCAGAAAAAGCCAGAAGTGCTGTGGCTCAAGTGGTAGAGAGCTAGCCTTGAGTCAAAGAAGCTCAGTGACAGTCCCAAGCCCAGAATTCAAGCCCCAGGACTAGCTTGAAAAGAAAAGAAAAGGCTGATATTTCCTAATTCTGCATTTTATTTTTCTGTGACATCTACAGATGTACCAGACTGACTTTGAACTGTGATCCTTGATATGGTGGAGGACATAAAGATGGAATATGATATTTGACTTGGATTGTGTAAAATGGATAATGAATGATTTTAAGATATAAACGTAAGTGTGCTGTGGATAAGACTTCCCTGGTAGCTCATTACTTTAGCTAGTAACTGTAATGGTAACTCTGTAACTCTGCTTCTGCTGTTTTTTGAGCAATGGGAGCCCTAACCCAGCGGACCATCACCACCCTTTCTTCTATTCCCCTGCTTCCCACAAGCAAAACGTTGGCAGGAAATTTAAACTTAAGGTGTGCATTTCTTGTAACAATCATTGGCTAAAACCAACACCCAGCCTTCCCCTTTCCCCACCCTAGCCCAAAATGCTTAAAAGCCCATATGGGCTGGCACTCGGGCCATTTCCTGGGATCCCAACTCCAGGTGCGGTCCTGGAGCACTTTTGGTCTTGGTCAGTACTTTTCGCTCAATAAAATCTTTTACATTGTCACTGAGCTGTCTCACTGCCCTTCCCCACTACAATCCTCAGATCTCAGGCTCCTGGGTAGCTAGGATGACAAGCACGGGCCACTAGTGACTGGCTTGGAGACACTTAAGGGACCTTTGGGACTTGGGTTCACTTCTGGCTTTCAGCTGGTTAGTTACGTTAAGAGTCTCACAGACTTTTCTGCCCAAGCTGGCTTTGAACCTAGATCTTTCGATCTCAGCCTCCCAAGTTGCTACAATTACAGGCATACAAATCCAAGAAACTTTTAAGTCCAATTTACCAGCAAAAAGCCAGAAGGGGCTGGGTGCTGGCTCATGCCTGAAATCCTAGCTACTCAGACGGCTGAGATGCAAGGATCATGGTTCAAAGCTAGCACAGGCAGGGAAAACTGTGAGACTCTTATCTCCAATTAACTGCCGAAAAATCAGAAGTGGTACCGTGGCTCAAGTGGTAGAGTGCTTGCCTGGAACTGAAGAGCTCAGGGACAGCGCCCAGGCCCAGAGTTCAAGCCCCACAACCAAAGGAAGGAAAAAAAAAAAAAAGCCAGAAGGGAGATCTGCCTAAAGTGGCAGAGCAAAAATGCTGAGAAAAATGTTAAGCAAGAGCGTGAGCCCCTGAGTTCCAGCACCAGTATAGGCAGGTAAAAATGAAAAAGAAAGAAAATTCACTGCATTTGACTTTTACCTAAAAGCTTATTTCCCTTTATCTTTTTTTTCTCCTCAGTACTAGTGATCAAGCCTGGGACAAACCTCACACATGCTAAGCAAATGCTCTGAACCCAGCCTTCACAGCCCAGTTCTAATCAAAACAGCATAGAGTGCTTTGGAAATAAAACATTCCCACCACATAGCAGGAAAGAAATACATAAAATGACTACCCTGTCAGGCATGGGGGTGCACACCTATAAACCCAGCATGGAGGCTGAGGTAGGCTAAGGTAGAAGAATAATCAAGATACACATACAAAAAGAGAAATCACATCCACTAAGCAGGTGCCACTGCTCATGCTGTGTTGCGGGCTTGATGTGCATGAATATGCTTATTTGTATCACATCTCTTATTATTCACATTTGGTGAATGAGGAAATTGTGCCACAAAAAGCATGCCCAGCATGACAGAACTGAGTGTCACAGTAAGTGGAAGAACAGGGATAGAAATGCACATAGAGAATCCCTGCTCTGTAGCCCTGTTTACAAACCTATTTAAAAACCTAAGAAATAACAGTCCTGACTGTGAAGGGACCTGGGGCTAGGGTTCACCACACCCTCTGTACACACACTCCCCACTGGTGGCCTGATGACAAGAGAATAATTGGACAAAGGTAGGCCCAGGGGGATAGCAAGTCTTCTGTGAAAAGTAACAGCATATTAACCTGCATTTTTGCCAGGCACGGGTGGCTCATGCCTGTCATCCTGGCTACTCAGGAGGCTGAGTTCTGAGGATCATGGTTTCAAGCCACATGGACCAAAGATTGACCAGAAATCGTAATGAGATTCAGCCACAGGTATGCTCTCTCAGAAATACATAAAATAGGGCTGGGAAGTTAGCTCAGTGGTAGAGCGCTTGCCTTACATGCATGAGGCCCTGGGTTCGATTCCTCAGCACCACATTAGAAAAAAGCCGGAAGTGGCGCTGTGGCTCCAGTGGTAGAGTGCTAGCCTTGAGCTGAAGAGCTGAGGGACGGCGCCCAAGCCCAGAGTTCAGGCCCCACAACCAAAAAAAGAAATACATAAAATAGTTGTAAAGATGATCTAGCTAGAAAGACATCCCAAAGACTGACCAGTGCATCTAGCTTCTCAGAACATTTGTTAGCACTAAGTTCATTACAGTTCTGAAGGAAAGAATGATGTGCTTCAAGATTGAGCTAACGTACATCTGTATGTGTGCTGTTAGATTTGATAGAAGAGAAATGATGAGATTAGGTCAGATAAGGAAAACACAAAAGTATCTAAAACTGTGGGCTCCTGTGTGCGTGTGTGTGCACGCGTGCATGCGTGCGTATGCGCACGCATGTGCACATGCGCGTGTGCATGATTTGTAGTTAGTTGGAGGTATAAATCTCATGGATTTTCCTGACTAGGCTGGCTTTGAACCAGGATTGAGCTACTGATGCCGGGCCCTAAAATATCTTTTACTTAAGCAATGGTAAAGGCATTTCATGGTTAGATACCTTATTTATTTACTTACTTACTTATTTGGTAGTACTAGGATTGAAATCAGAGTCTTGTACCTTCAAAGCAGTTACTCTACTCTCTTAGCCACATCCCCAGCCCTTGGATTCCTCATTTTGAAGTTCTATACTTTGTTGGAAATTTCAGTGTATAATTAAGCACCTTAAGTGTTTAGATAGAGCGATGTATGTTCTGTTACAACTATTTACCACTATGGTAGATAAGAGACAATTTGAGTGTCTTCTCTCCTAGCACTTCTCCAAGCCCTCACACAGGCTCATCGAGCTCTGAGCTAGTCAATCTTCTTCAAAAGTGCCATGTTCTTCCCACTGTTAGTGATGCTCATGGTGTCCCTCTGTTGGGAACTTAGGACCCCTAGTTCAAAGCTAGCTTAGGCAGAAAAGTCCTTAGACTCCTATCTCCAACCAGCAAGAAACTAGAAATGAGGCTATGGTTCAAGTGCTAGAGCACCAGCTTTGATAGAAAAAGGTAACCAAGAGCCCCAGGCCCCACGGAGAAAGAAAGAAAGAAGGAAAGAAAGGAAGAAAGGAAGGAAGAAAGAAGGAAGGAAGGAAGGAAGGAAGGAAGGAAGGAAAAAGAAAGAAAGAAAGCAACAGAAAGAAAGAAAAGAAAGAAGGAAGTAATTCCTAGAGCTCCTGACTCAAGCCATTCTCCTGTCTAGCCTCCTGAATGGTGCTGGGACAACATGCAATGTCACACCGTGGTCAACTTTGCTGGCTAGTGCTTAGTACTTACTGTCCTCAATAAAAAATTGTATTAAGTGGATCTTCGTAGGTTACAAAATTAAGACTATTTTAGAAATAAAAGAAAAGCCGGGCGCTGGTGGCTCACAACTGTAATCTTAGCTACTCAGGAGGCTGAGATCTGAGGATTGGTTCAAAGCCAGCCTGGGCAGGAAAGTCTGGAGACTCTTATCTCCAATAAACTATCAGAAAGTCAAAAGTGGCACTGTGGCTCAAGTGGTAGAGTACTCGCCTGGAGCTGAAGAGCTGAGGGACAGCGCCCAGGACCAGAGTTGAAGCCCCATGACCGACAAAAAGAGAAAAAGAAAAGAAAAATGTGTCCAAAATGCAAGTTTTGTGCAATTTTATTCCAGCCCTTATCGTCCCTAAGGGTGTGGTTTAAAAACACTTATGGAAGGATCTACCGGTCACTGTCAAATACCCACTACTAAAAATTGATGATTGTTCAAGCAATGCATCAACTCTGGTAGAGTAACTGAATAATGAAGTCCACCCATAGAATAAAACCACCACAAAAATCTATGCAAAATTAAAAACCAGTTACACGTTAACTACTTTTGTCTCGGACTCCAACGGAGACATTTACCCTTCCGTCCCAGTTTCTCCACCATAGACCGGGGCGGGGGGGGGGGGCTGACCCTTGCCACTTCCTCCTCCTCGGGTTGAGATTAGCGGAGGGAGAGTATCCAGACGGGGACTCGTCCGCGGTGAAGGCACCCTTAGCCGACCCGGGCGCTCGGAGCGGCCGGGGAAGCCAAGGGGCGGAGGAGGTGAGATCGCGGGGCTCGGCGGCTTACCTGGCCTCGCCGACGGGCGCCGGGTGCGGAACGAACACTCCGCACTGAGACAGCGGAGGCGGCTGCTTCTTTTTGGGGCGCCAGAGATGGAAGGAGCCGTGTTTCTTGGGGGCCTTGGACGGGCTGGGCTCCCTGGGATCGCCTTGAGGTGGCGGCGACAGCGGCATCTTCTCGTCGACCTCCTCTCGCGGCTGCTGGGGCGCCGTGTGCGCCTGCACCTGGCCCAGCCCGGGTTGCAGCCACACACCTGGGCGCAAACTCGCCCGCCCTCCTCGGCGCGCGGCGGGACCCCGCCCCCTGGCTGCTGGTGCGGGCGACCGCCCCGGGGTAAAGCACCAAGACCGGGCTCAGGAGCAGCCCAGCAATAGGGGCGCCCTGGGCTAAGGAGAGCGCGGGATCCACACACTGCGCCTCCGCGCGGCGCCAGCTGCGCGGTGCCCAGGTGAGACGCGCGCGCAGGGAGCCCAGGTAAGGCCGACAGGTCCCCCAGGCCCGGCTGCGCGGCAGCGACACCTGCTGGGCATTCTGGGAACCGCGCTCCCCTGCGTCCGTTCAAGGCCGGGAGCCAGAGCTAGCTGTCGGGTTTCCAAAATGCCTCTGGTGTCATTGCCATTAGTCGCCCTCCTGAAGAATTTTTGGTCATTCTTGACTGGTGTCGGGTTGGCAGGATGAATGACTGCTTAGCCACGAACCCCAGTGGCAGAAGGATGGATGAGGCGTATCTCCTGGTCAGGCGGCTTGGCTCTTCCACTCTGGCATTTATTTTGGAGACTTTAACCAATGTCATCTGCTGGTAGCTTCTGTTCCTGTTCATAAACATCAGTGCCAACTTACCTTTTCTCAAGAGTCTGAATAATTAATCTGGATTCGCAAGTCCCATAAAGCATAAAAGAGTTTTTTTTTTTAAATGTAGCGCATTCGGGTGTCAGTGGTTCACACCTGAAATCCCAGCACCTCACGAGGCTGAGATCTGAGCATCTTGTTTCAAAGTCAAACACCCAGCAGGAAAGTCCTTGAGACTTATCTCCAACCAACGACCAAAAGAAGCTGGAAGTGGAGCTGTGGCTAAAGTGGTAGAGCGCTAGCCAAGAGTCAATTTCAGCTTTATTTCTACTAGAAAGACAACACTCATGTACCCACATACATACCTACTGAGTAATAGGGGTATGTATAGGTTCAGCTTTAGTGAATCCTGCAAATAAGTTTTGCTAAATGTTTCTGTAGCATTTTTATTACTTCAGCAATTTTAAAATTTTCCATTTTTAAAACATCTAAATCAAGATGTGATATTCTCGACATGGCTGATGTATGCCTATAATCTCAGCACTCAGAAGGCTGAGGCAGGAAGATTGAGAGTTCTATGTCAACTTATGCTACATAGCTAGTTTCAGGCCAGCTTGAGCTACATAGAGAGACTTCAACACAAACTAACAAACAAGGAAAGAAGAAGAAAAAGAAATAAACAGTATAATATTCTGAATCCTGTTCATTTTGACCTTTCTGATTGGAGATGTGGTAATATCATAGTTTTAATTTATACTTGCGCAAGAAGCATTTATTGAGTTCATTGAGTACTGTTTATGTGCTAGGCTCTGGAGGGCATTGGCAGATACAAAGAATACACACACATACACGTGTGTGTGTGTGTGTGTGTGCATATATATGTATATCTGGTACTTTAGGAAGGAAGGAAGGAGTGGTCAGTAAAAAATTATTATCAATTTGGCACTTGGGTTGAACCTTAAAGTGCAAAGGTAATAGAAAAAAGGGGTAAGAAAAGAGGAGGAATAAGGAGAAAGACAAGAGAGAGGAGGGAAGAGAAGATACCTAAACACACTTGCGCAAATATTTATACATCCAGTAATTCTGTTTTGTATTCCAAGCAGAATTTCTCACTCTACTCATTCATTGTGCCACCAGGGAATCTGGAGCATATTTCTATTATAATACTTCCCTATCACATTGAAATTATTATTTATATAAATGTCTTTCATATTAGCGTAAGAAAAACTTAAGGGTATCTCTTTTATGTTTATATTTTTGCAATGAATTTCCATTAATTCAATTAATCAATCAGACAAATCTAGAATATTTAAGGCACTGATCTTTTTTTTTTTTTTTGAGTCTAGTCATGGGGCCTGAACTCTGGGCCTGGGCGCTATCTCTCAGCTCTTCAGCTCAAGGCTAGCGCTCTACCACTTGAGCCACAGCGCCACTTCTGACTTTTTTCTTTTTGCTTATGTGGTGCTGAGGAATCGAACCCAGGGCCTCAGGCATGCAAGGCAAGCACTCCTTCCCAGCCCAGGCACTGATCTTTCTGACTACATATTTTCTTTTTTTATGTGTGTCAGTAATGGGGCTTGAACTCTGGGCCTAGACACTGTCCCTCAGCTCTTCAGCTCAAAGCAAGCACTCTACCACTTGAGTCACAGTGCCACTTCCAGTTTTCTGGTGGTTAATTGGAGATAAGAGTCTCATGGACGTTCCTGCCTGGGCTGGCTTCAAACTGAGATCCTCAGATCTGAGCCTCCTGAGTAGCTAGGATTACAGGCAGGAGCCACTGGTGCTCGGCTTGACTGTATATTTTCTAAGAGCAAAAGTCACATGTCTTTTTGCCACTATTCAACTCCTGATGACTAGCACAGTGCACTGACTAGCACTAAAAGGCACCAGGAAGGCATCTGCAATATAAATTATTCAATAATTAGACTTAAGCCTGCCATGGTAGTGCAGGCTTAAGATCTGAGCACATGGAAGGCTGGCTCAAGAGGATCATGAGTTTGAGACCAGCCTGGGCTATCCAGTAAGACATTATCTTGACAAAACAAAACAGGTTAGAACTGCTTATAGAAGAGGAAACAGTACTCCAGAGTAATCTGGCAAAGGAGTCAGATATTTAAGCAGACATGGATATAAAATTTGGCAAGTGTTCTAACCAAGGTATTTCAGTCATTCTTTTTCAGTCAATATAAAAACAGACCTATTCAGACTTGGTTTTTGTCTCCCCTACTACCCCCACAAATGCTTAGTAAGAAAGAGTTTATTTGAAAGAAAAGAAAAGCTCTATAAGAAAAGAGCAATGGGGCTGGGAAGGTGGCTCAGTGGTAGAGCGCTTGCCTTGCATGCATGAGGCCTGGGTTCAATTCCTCAGCATCACATAAGCAAAAAAAAACTGGAAGTGGGGCTGACACTCAAGAGGTAGAGTGCTAGCCTTCAGATGAAGAGCTGAGGGACAGCGCCCAGGCCGAGTTCAGGTCCCACGACTGACCACAAAAAGAAAGAAAGAAAATAGCAAAAGTTCATCATCTGGAAAGGAGTCTCGAGAGGAATCCTGAGACTTGTTTAAGCAATCTTTTGACTTCTTGTTTCATTATCTATTAAAAGACATTAGGTGGTTTATGAACTGTTTACAAAAATTAGGAGGCAAATTCTGAAGCCCAAATATTCCAGCCATCCCAGAAACCGGTCAGGCAAATACCACCCTCATCGATTCTACTTCATCTAGTACTTACCAGCGGTTCTGCTACTGGCCACCCTAAAGCCCAAGGCCTGTCCAGACAGGTCTCAATAAATGGTCTGCTGCCTCACTCTCCTGGTAGTAGTTTTGTATAGGCAACTTTTTTTTTTGATAATTTTTGGTGTCTTTTTTTTGAGCTTTGCATTCAGAATTTTTATTTGGTAAAATAGATGGATTTCCAAGTACTAAATATAGATAGAATTTCTAATGAGTAGTATGGATGTAACTAATTATTTCATATTTATGTATTCTACTGCCATCACATAAGTAAGATGGACATATACAAAAAATGTATTTAATGCCCTTTTAGCACTGAGAATAGTGTTTAATTTAGAAATTTGAGCTGGGTTCCAGGAGCCCATGCCTGTAATCCTAGCTACTCAAGATGCTGAGAATCCAGATCCAATACCATCCTGGGCACATGTAAGAGGCAATTTAAAAGATCATTTTCCTAGGTCCTGTGAATGAACTAAAAAAAAAACCAAAAACCAAATTTGCATCTGTGTCATTTGATCTGTACCCTTTGAAATCACCTTGTTTGTAGGCAGAACGATTCAGATAAGGCAAACTGCCTCTCAAATAAGCAATGTGTTCTTCTAGTCATCTTAAAGCAAACAGCCAAGAACTTGGTAGACCACCTTGTTCCTGCTTTGTTCCAGTAATAAAAAGATAACTTTTATGGAACTCCCTCCAGAGATGAAGATTGAGCTCAAGGCAATCCAGGTCATATCTATGACTTTAATTATACATACCTTAATCACCCTCTCTTTCCAGTTCTCTCTTTTTAAAACTGAAGACAATGTCTAGACCTCTGAAGATAGCTCAAGATGTTCTTAAGTGTTATCTTCCCATTGGCTACCATGTAATAAATTTTCTACCCTTCATCATGTCTCTCTGTTTGGCATATGGGGTAAATGACTGCTGGACTTTGGGGTTTAGAATGGGGTCTAGGTGTGCTCGTTTGGTGCGGTCCGGGGACCTCTTTTGTGAAGCGGCATCTGAGGAGACTCCGGCGCTTGCGATGGACCATGAAAAGCCCTAGGAAGGAGTCAAGACTGAGAACAACCATCATGGGACTGGGAAGGTGGCTCAGTGGTAGAGCGCTTGCCTTGCATGCATGAGGTCCTGGGTTCGATTCTTCAGTACCACACAAGCAAAAAGAAAAAAGCCGGAAGTGGCGCTGTGGCTCAAGTGGTAGAGCGCTAGCCTTGAGCTGAAGAGCTGAGGGACAGCG